TTCGAAAGAGGATTTTACGGGCGCGCTGTATCAAAGTACAGCATGCAAATGCGATTATGCCCATACGATACAGGAGTGGATCGATCGTCCGATTGTATGGACTGGTATAGTCCTTTTAAAGTGAGTGCAGTTAATGTTCCGCAGTTAATGTTCCCTTTTGACGTGTGTAAGTTTCGCGGCCGTTGATACGTTTTTGCACATTTCGCGGCTGGATTCGCAACGAATCGGGGCACAATTGATGGACACTCGACGAGAAGTAGCTATCGAACGTCGAATGGAAAACTTTTAATTTCCATCGAGCCACGTTAATCGAACGATTTAAAATATCGTTGGTAGAAATTCATTTTGCGTTACTTTTACTGCGCTGCAACGACGAATAATAAATAGCAGATAAATCGTATTGATCGTTCAACGATGCTCAACATTAACGATCGTTGATTAGCGGCATGCAATTTTATCATAAGCATCGACAATCTATGATTTGCAAAACGCATACATTTTGCCTGTTGCTGACATTCATGATTCTCGCTTCACCGGCCAGGTTCACGTGCTTCGACGACGTGCAAACGCGCGGCCGTATTCACTGAATCGTTAATATTTTCGCGACGCCATTGTGCACAATTATTCCACAATTGCGCCCAATTTCTAGCCCTACAGAGGGCCACGCCGAACTACTCAGGTATTACATAACGACACGATGCCGCGTATCACCCATTAATATTTTGCGCTTGTCATTGAAATGCAATTTCCACACGGTGGTCAGGCGTACACCGAGAACTCTAATTCAGTGCTTGTGGTTGCATCAATCAACTATGGCACCGACTAACTAGTTAGAAATAATTAACGGGTCTGTGAGCTTCGTGGGATAAACGTATTCGTTATCAGGTAAAACATCGTCACCCTGTCCGCGTGCAATTTCACTCGCTCGCCCATGTTCTTAACTTGTCCATCCTGTCGCTCTACTAATTCCAGTTTACAGGGTTTTATATTTATTAGACAAATTCATGTTAAACTCCGTGACATCACGCGAATTCAGAAACCACCGTTGAACGCAATATCGGAAGATTTGTTGGGGTTTATTTGATCGTTGGTTTAAAGACAATAAACAGCTCAAAATTATGCAGAGCGAACGCGAGAATCCCCTAGTAATAGCTACGTATAGCCGGTTCTTAATCACTGGAGATTATACGCGAATAGGTGGATCGATTCTTCCATGATTTGTAGGTTTAATTTAGTACTGGTAGTGTAATCTAATTATGCTTTCCAATTCCGATAGGCCGAAACGAACGTATATCTATGTAAAATTTGCGAAGCTTAACTAATCGATCCGATGAAGAAGAAAAAAAAGAAAGAAGAGAGAAGAAAAATGCAGTCCGGTTGTAAATGAAAAAACGTATTATAATACGCTGGTCACCGAATCGGAATTCGTGAATTATGCTGTTTTCTTTCCTTCTATGTATGTACATCCAATTTCCCGAATACCGAGCGTTCAATCCGTAGGAAACTAAAACCTTGAGTTTCGACTAATATATACCTATATGCACGATAGGTATCCAGGATATTTTAATATCTACATCCGTTGCTACTAACTCAGAGGGCAATCCGCGATTTATGCACACACTGGGCAATATTAAACGCCTCCTCGTGTATACCTAGAATGCCCATATGAGCTCAAATGAGAACTTATTGGCTCTCGTGAGTCCAAGAAATAATTTAATATTACTTAAAATGGAACCAACTAAATGACGAAAGATAACCAAATAACCAGAAATAATGATCAATTCTATTATGTACGTATATCGAGCAATGATTTGGTATGCTCGTCTCGTAGCTCGTCTGCATCTTTAAATCAATTGTCATCGCTAAGATATAAATCCAGCGAATAGAGAATTAAATGAACACGGAAGCGAGATTGAAACGTCCGAACGAGCACGTTAATGTACGCTTGTGTTAATTCATGTGTATCCGATATTTAATTTGGTTTAAATTAAATCGCGATAGAAGTGTTGCAGTACGAATTTAAGTCAGCGATACCCGGACGTTTGGCGGTGAAATAGCCCGATTTTTATCGATCCACGTTTCGCCATTATTTGCCGATTACTGATGTAATAGATACATGTTGAAATCTGTGTTTAACAACGTTTCTTTTTTTTTTTTTACACGGCTTTTTACGCAGGGCAATTTCTTCCCCGCGCAAAATTTAAGGAGAACTTGATAATCGTTTTCTAATTATGAAGCTCTTTTTTATGAATTCCGTCGGTATTCCGTAGTTTTTTTTCAAAGCAAAACGAGATGGACAATTTTTCGCGATATTAATTTCAGATTTCCAGCAATCCTAATTTATTTCAGAGATGTTTCCCGTTAAATATTTTTTTACAAACGAACGCGAACTTTTTTCAGCTGCAGATAAAGGAACAAACAAAGCAACAGGAAGCGGCATTAACTATGATTCTGAAATCGTCTACCGTGCAAAGAGCATAATAGTAATCCAGTTAAAACAACCTGGAAACAGTTAACCTATTTTTGCGTAATGTTCTCACTCGTAGTATGATGACAAATGCTAATATTCTTAATAGCATCGCATACATATTCTCGTTAGAACTAACTTCCCAGATAACACACCTATTACATGTTAAAAGCTGTGGCTTTATGTTCTTCAATATTCGCTAAACTAACTCAAGAGGCATAAGATGTTTTTTTTTTTTTTTTAGTAGAAGCTACGTTGTATAAAAACAAAATAGGATAACATTGTTAGTGAAAGACCGAGTATTTTGTAAGCTGTGTACGCTTGTATGAGAAAATACCTACATTGAAGAGTAAAGTATTTGCCCCCAACTTTTTTACACCCGTAATCCCAGCCTCAATAACCTTTTAAGACCGATATACAGATGCACAGCTATGTGTGGACACAGATACGCGTGCATGCATGCAACTTTTAAAACATGTTGGTAAAATTGTCAATGCCCCGCAACACACAATTTTTAAGCTTTTACGGCTCCCATCGTGAGAATAACTTCACGATAGTCGATGTAACCGAAGTAGGTACACGCGCACCGTGAAAAATACGTACGGTTGAAAAAAAGTTACGGCCGCCAATAACCAAATTCGATCGGTCAACGAACAACCGATGTTAATTTATCTTCCGTGCTCTATTCTACGCTGTCTACATTTTATAACGCGGCCACTGACATCGTAATTAATTCTAATCATAGTGCAATTAACTGAAAATTATTATACGTATAGGTATAGTATTATCATGACCGTGATATTAGCATAAATGTGTACCGAATGTATTTATATCAAATCAGCTCTCATATTAAATATAGAACGGTCTACGATTGCTCGCTCGGTTAAATTGAAAGGATTCCGTTATCAATCAAAGCAATGGCTAAGTATTCATGTTATATGAATTGATTGAATGAGTAAGGTTGATTACAGCAGCAACAAACTCGGTGCTAATAGAAAAAACACTGCGCATACATATGTTATACAGAAATTTCTGACGTCGGATATTTTTTTCGCCAACAAAGACTAGTTGAAAACTTTTTGATACATATTCGAGCAATCAATAGTTACACGAGCATTCCATGCTCGTTTCTAATTGTTAGTTCACATTTCAGCGACAGTAGTTCCCGGTGATTAATTAAAAAGAAAGTTAGTGAGTTCAAATTTTGCTTTGCCATATTCATCACAAAGGACATTGGTACACTGATGTAATTTAGACTACTTCTACTGAAGCATCTTTCATTTCATTTTAACGCGCTCGCACACGTACAACGTTATAATAAGCAAAAATTTGTTTCAAAATTATAAACCTTGTAATAAGGAAACAAAATATCTTAATTTATTAGTAAAATAATCAATACGGTGCGTTTATCATACGTACGTGAGTGTCACGTAGGTTACACCGTGCTTGTATTATAGCATGTGCATGCAATAAAAGTATTATTACATGTTACTATCGTATGATCATTTTGAACGACGGCAATGAGTTCGACTGCCTGCTGGTAACATGATTATATGTACGTGTGTGCCTACACAATAGTTGCCAACTCGATTAGCTGAATCCATAGAAGTGTTCCTCTATCGTGATGCAGAAACGATGGTCTGGTACGGAGATTGCTTGACCGCAAACTAGAACTTTACTTTAAAGATCTTACTATTCATAACTACTTTAACGATAGTACGATCACCGTTCGTTATAATTCAACCGTACGATAAACCTAATTTTACGTTCCGAAAGAAACAAATGTGAAAACTTTGCTAACGATTTGTAACGGTTTACTAGTTTGCTTAACCGAATTACCACTGATTGCTATTGATCTTTTAACGGTATAAAGTATTGACCTTAACAAATCTTCGAAGGAATTAAACTTTAAAGTGGGGGAAAAAAAAGAAAGGTAATGGAATTCAAAATGAGATTTCGACTGAAAATTTCTCGATGTTCCCCTACACATGCCGCAAAACTTTAAATTGCTATCTATCTCAAGTGGAACTTTAAAGGAAAGGAAATGAATTTACATTTCGTGCTAAAACTCATTGTAAAAGGAGCGTAAAACTTTTAAACGCGCCAGTTAAAAGTGTACGCGCTAGGACCTGTATTTTCATCCACATAACATGTATCGTGTACGCTGGAAGTGGATACTATCTTACCTGATAAATTCCGGAACTACGGTTCTTAGTACGTCTCTTTGGTATACGCTGTTGCAGCCTCCCAGACGGCACGCCTTCGACATATCGGTCACGTACGCCATCATGTAGAATCGTATTCGTAAGACCTAGCAACGTTATCGTCGGGTAAACATCGATAGGAAAGCATTGTCATAATGCGATATAGTTGCACGCTTCGTGGTTGCATCTGGTTCAACAGTATCGCCCGTTACACCATATCGTACCTACCTGCGTATGACCCTTTCTATCTTGACATAAGTTTTGACTCCTTTCTTTTTTCTTTTTCTCTCCTTCCTTTCCTTCTTATCGCGATAACTTCTTTATTAGGCCTATCGCGTACCACCTGCGGACCATAAGTTCATTTCCAAAGTTTTGTTTTTTTCTAAAATTTATAATACCAGGTTTTACAAGTATGAAGTTTTTATTTAACAAAGTGTTAGTAATTAGAAACTAAATTAACGTCTATGTACGTATCTTTTCTTGGAGTATTTACCAATAATTTGTTCCTCGACCGTGCAACCTTCAGACCGTGAAACGAGTTCTTACGTTTTTGTCTTAATCGTGGCTGATAATTCTTGAACATGAAACTTTTACCGAAATAAAAACTTGATGGTAACCGTAAATGTATACCATACAAATCACAGTTTTTATTGAATACCAAGATCTTTTATACAGCTTACGATTTGTGAAACTTTCACAGAACTTATCGTACAATAAAATTAGGTTAGGTAGGAATTAAGTATATGTTTGTATCCGCGGTATGGAAAGAAACCAATGCGCAATAGATGAAAAGGTCAATGAAAGTATGACACTATCGATGAACAAGCCCTGAGCGTGCCATAGTAGATACATATCTACTTACAAAGCACTTACTTGTACTTACTATTCGAATATTCAAGTATTTATCCTCTCTCTTCAAAAGTTGACTTGCGATATATCGATCATATCTGTTCACTTGACATGAAAGTGTCATACGTAAAAACATGGCGTCAGATGCGATATGTTCTACACTATTTATTTATACTAAATAATAAAATAGAAATTCCAATAAAATACTGAACTTAAATATCGAATAAGATAATTTTATACTCACCTCGATATTCCACTCTACAATAATTCATTTTTATCCCTCTTAAGATCCCTCAACTCGAGAACCATTGATTTCTTAAAAATTACAAAAATTACATAACCTGCAGTTATACAACAGCGGACAGATAATTGCTTTAATAGCAATTACAAAAGTCACAACCGACTTGTCATTGACAAAAGACTGCCATTGAAATGAAGCACGAACATATGTTTATTGAGATTCACTAATCGTGTTGAAACATCAAAAAACATCGTTAAATTACGTGCGTGACCGCCAAGATCAGAAACGTAGAAATACTGAGAAAAGAAAGAGAGTACAATATATATTTCCAAGTTCATTCCTTTGGTAGAAAATCGTGGATAGGAACGTGTACACACGTAATAAACACATAATAGCAAGTATACGGTGAAGTGCGTGTGTACGTAGGTTAGGCACGAAAGTACGAAAGTAGGTACACCGTGGACGATATCAAACAGCGCTATCGGGGGATCGGGGCGTTCGGGCGATCTCGGCTGCTGCCGATGTCTCACGAAGTGGGCCGAAAGCAAAGCGCGCGGCAGACGGTTCTCGCGCGTCGAGCTATCTGGTTGGCACTCACGTCGAGTCGGATACTTATATTCGAATTGACGTTGCACGTCTCTCGTTCTTACCTCGTTTCATCCTCGTGATTTACACAGACCGCGCTCGCGCCAGTTTCGTTGCCGAGTTTTGTGCTCCGTCCGGTTCGAACGCGCCGCTCGAATCACCGGCAGTTCGTTTCTACAAAGGAAGTTTAGACAGTGCTTTTTTTTTGTGATGTGCACGGAATCGACGAGCAACTTCAAGATGACGATCGCCTGGGTCTGCCTCATCGGCCTGTTGTGTACTACGGCTGTTAAAGGTGCGACAGAAGTAACATCTGTACTTTCCTTCTCTATCTCTTACGCTTCTCATGTAATTTTGCGAAATCTGTAATCGCGTGATTCCCGACTGCCGGGGCAACATCATAGTGACGTATGTGTAACGGTTTCTTCTTTCTTTTTTTTTTTTTGTCGCGACGGTAGCGCACGATTCTCGCGGCCATTTCTTCCAATCGATCTATCGAACGGTTTGAAATCTCGCTTCGTTGAAATGGCGTGCAAGAGGCGGCGATGATTCTTGTCAGAACCGGGTTTCACGTGGAACGTATCGCAAAATACGATGAAACGGAGTAAAGTCGCTGCCTACGGTAAGAAGTAACAAATCGATGGAATTTCAAAATTAATTCATGGAGACGCCACACTAATTGACGATGAAATATAACGGATCGATGTTGACGGGTAAATGTTGTATAATGTTAACGATGCGTTTACTGATCACGAGCATGGCCGATCCTTGTTGAAATCATAGTCGATTAGTCAGCGAGACAGACTGGTGCCAGACTGATATTTGGTTTCGTCGCGTCGCGCTGCAAAATACGATTAACCAAATTATAATCGGTACGTAATGATGAATTATTGCGGAGAAAGTTTCAACGTTCGTTAGCTTCTCCGACCGGTCTAGTTGACGATAATTTGTACGATCATTGTTAAGGTCAAACGATGGTCAACAAGATCACAGTCGTATTAATAGTAAAGTAAATGTGAATGAAGACGTTATCGGCTCATTGAAATACGCAGATTAGAAAGTCGAGAGTTATTCCGGTCGTTCTTGAAATGTTCTTCTTGCAAGGCCGGAAAGGAAGTGGCGCTGTCTTCCTTCTTATAACTTCGACACATTCGTAACTGATAGCATATCTTGGGATTACTTTCTAAAATAGATACCGGACGATCTTACTGTTCAGGAATAGAGGGTGGAGATTGGGAAATTGGAGATTCGAAAAAATTATTGAGCACTTATCTAAACGAGGGAAGCGTTCTGTGTGAATTATTATATCGCGATAATGGGAGATTTATCATCGGCGATGCACTACTTTACACATCTGTAATCTTCTCGTGATAACAACCAATCAGCCTTGTAATTGTACTTTGCTGTTGAATGTTTTTATTATTATTCCTAGAATCGAATTATATTATTCTTAGAATTTCCTTATCCGTATAATCAGGAACTATGGTACGGTATTGTAAATTTGTGGTATGTAGCGTAGATATTTCTTCTGTACTTCCTATGTTTACTGTGTCTCTCTTGTTGTGATTTGCTTTGATAATCTTTTTATTTTTAGTTTTAGTCACGACTTAGTCCCTTACAAATTTACTTTTCCAATCGTTCGTATTCACTCAACTGTAATCGATACGCGATATGAAATATATCTCCGTATGAAATATTTGCGTTACAATCGTCGTCGATAAAAATTTTTTTTATCTTACTTATTAAATATACGTGACGTAATTGCGATGCGTTTATCGCGCTCTCCTCGTTACGTCCAATGATCTCGAAATTGTCGAAACCGGTTATTTCAATACACTGGATGTGACAGGACGAGCTGCACTGGCAACGGGAATTTCTATATAAACTTTTCAATGGAAACTTTTGTTACTACGAAGAAGCTTGTTATCCTGGTTAGGGCGTGACGCTCAGGGTCAGGACATTTTCCCTTGATGGTTTATAAATTTTCTAGTGGTCGGATGGTATCTTGTTTGAATTCGATTACCATGCAAAATAGACCACCCCCGTCTGCGGTTATATTATTTTTCTCGATGTCAGTATAAAGTAAAACGAAACGGATACTTTCCCTGGAAGTGGGTATAAAACGTAGCGAGCGTTCGGTATTTATCGATCTAGGGTTATGAATAACGCTCGGTATCAAGCAACACCGAGCTTTTGTTGTTCATCGTAACAGAACGACTCGAATAAAAGTAGCCGTTTATTGCTCGAGTTCTTGCTTATATAATTCAAGGATATTGTTGCGATTACGACAATGCATTTAACGTTTATGAATAATTTCATTGAATAACATTGTTATTGTTCCGGCATTAAGTTTCCCTTCCTCCTTTCTACATTCCTTTCCTTCAAGAAACATTTCGAAGCGAATTAGATTAAACCAGTCATTCAATGAAGCTAATAAAGATAAAGGATAGAGGAGGTGGAGAAACTCGTGTGCTGATTAATACACTGTTATATCATAATTACTCTTTATGAAGTTTATTATCGGCAAGAGCGGGAAAGTTTCGCGTGACGAACTATTTGTTTAATAAATCCGGCCACCACGACAGCGACGAGGACATATCTTTAGTGGAAAAATGTTTTTCCCTCGCGTCAGCCCCCCGCGGAACAAAAACGATCGAAAATTAATTACCTGACGCGTGGAAAGTCAAGGTGGAAATTATCCGCGCTGGCGAATTATAATCTTGGCCACGTGCATGGCATCGTGGAACGCGTCGAGGGATACGCCTCGTATACACGAAGAGTTTAAGGTCACATTTACACGAAATGCCTTTCCCTCTGTGCGACTCGAACTTAACTCGTGCTTACCTTGAGCTGTAAAGAAAGGTCGATGCAAATGACGTAATCGAAAATGCTAAAGATAATTTTCCCGCTCTTATTCACGAGCAGTGCAGATTCCGTAGAATTCCGTTTCGATATGTCGGATTTGTTATCTTTGTTTTCCAAAGTTAAATTTTTTAATTTGAGTTACACGTTTTTTTTTTTTTTTTTT